CAGCAGGTCGCTCCCGAGGGGTCCCAGATAAGAGAGGGCACAGGCCGGGCTGAGGGACCCCTCCTGCCCCCCGAGTGCACAAATTTTTGTGCACCGGGCCTCTAGTGTTTATATAAACATTTGACCCTCTTAAGTGCATTACTTCTGTAAGTGTCCATGTGCCCAGAAGTTCTTTGGAATCTTCTCAGACAAAAAAAGGACAGTGTAGTCTGTTTTCTCTATTAGAAACCAATTCTCTGGATGTTTGGAGTACCTGTTTTCCAGTAGCATCCTTTGCATGGCTAAAGCCAGATTCTAACTTCTGACTTTCTAGGCTTGGGACTCACCATTATGCCACCGACTTAAGCTTGAGGCCTTCTAAACCCTAACAAGCCTATATTTATATTTGGACTCCCTTTTTATACTTAGTCCACTTGCCTCTTAACACACTAAAATATTTGTAAACAGACAAAAACAAAATTATTTAGAAGTGTACTAATACAAGTACATTCTAGAAATATTTTAAACGATGTTTAAAGTGAAAGAGTAGCTGGTTCTGACTAGTTTATTGTCATATTTGGATGTAACTAGAGCTAAGACTGATAGCTCTGATTATATTGTCTTACTAAGAAATGGTAGAATGAAAACAAATGGCTGCTTTAAGATAAGGAATAGGCTTACAGACCTGTGAAGGAATAGGTATTCTGTGATGATAGTGACATTGGAATTGGGATCCAGGCCTACTTCTGCTATTCAGTAGCTTTATCTTGGACAAATCTTGGACTTACTTCCTTATCTGTGAAGTAAGTTTGTAAACTAGATACCCTTGAAAGATTGCTTTTACCATGAATTAAAGTATGAAACAGAATACTGTTTTGGCTTAAACTCGAAATAACCAGAAAACTCAGTGCCAAAGCACTTTACTTTTTTGTGCCTTTTGTTTAGTTCTGTTTTATTCTTTTGGAGAATGTCATCCATTTGTCCTCTGAAGTAATAAGAACAGAAGAGATTTTGCTGTCTGCCAGAAAGTGAATGATAAATATCTTGATTTTAGTAATTTGCCTGAGTTAACATGTATTGAAGACCACTAGTATAATTGCCATCTGAATGTTTTGATTTAATCTTCTGTGACAACCACTAAGCAATAGTATTCCTTATTTTTTTTTTTTTAGCAGTAGTATTCCTTAATGTTTTACTCCTTGTCTCCCATATTTGTACCTTGAATCATGCCTAAGAAAATGTTTCCCATTTTTGTTTTATGAAAGTGTAATTATTTCCCTGCAATTTTTCTAGACTTGTCTTCTGAGGTGAATTCTGTATTACAGAAGAAAGAAGTTAATGCATATTACCTTTCATCTAATTAGCTAGGGAAAGGGATATTTTTAAACCTAGATCAAAATAAATCATTTACATTAATGAAGAGATACATTTTCCCACTTCATTTTAAGAGTTAGTATTACTATAGGCTTTGAGTAAAGTAAACATTCCTTAGTAGATCTTCATATTTGCTTTATTTAACAATTACCTAATATATCAAGGAGGGCTGGTTTTGGTCTATGGTTGCAAAATAGGTATCTTCGTTGTCATTATTTGAAACTGGACAAAATCAACTTGAATTACTTAAATGAATTTTATCAATTCTTTCTTCGTAGTGCATCTTACCACATCAGACCTCTTAAATTATTTGTTGTCCTGTGCCATTTTACTATTCTTCCTCCCTGCTGGTAGATGGGAAAGCCCAGCAATGATTATGTTCATCTGTCTAAAGCACTTGATTGTTGGTTTATACAAAACCCAGCAATCTCAGGCATTCAGAAACTGAAAATTAGCTTAACCTTGAAGGAAGACTTAATAGAGGGTTATACGTAGAGTGACCATATAATTTATCTTCCCATTTGGTAATACTTTTAAAGAGAAAGTATATGCTGTTAGTAATTATTCCAGGGCAATAGATTTAAACCAGGACCCTTTGGGGTAAGCCAGATGTATGCTTTAAGTTATGTTTTAATTTATTAATTACCTTTTTAACAGTTTTTTCTCTCAGAGATTAAGGTTTCCACTTTGACTTAAAAATGAATTATTTTGTGCCCTAACTGGTTTGGCTCAGTGGATAGAGGGTCAGCCTGTGGACTGAAGGGTCCCAGGTTTGGTTCCGGTCAAGGGCATGTACCTTGGTTGCGGGCACATCCCCAGTGCGGGGTGTGCAGGAAGCAGCTGGTCGATGTTTCTCTCTCATCGATGTTTCCAACTCTCTATTCCTGTCCTTTCCTCTCTGTAAAAAATCAAGAAAATATATTTAAAAACTGAATTATTTTGTTATTTCTGAAATAAAGTATATTCTTCTGTTTTTACATTTTAAAATGGTAATATGTTTAAGGAGGTTTTTTCTATCAATATTACAACATAAAAGTCAACCATTTAAAGTCCTAAATTTTTTTTCTCAGAACTTGCATTGACTTAAAACTCTGTGTACAGGGTCTTAAACTCTAGGTTGTTGCTACTCTGTAAGCACGTGCTAATATGCAGAGATTGTGTCACTTGCCTTATTTTTAAGTATGATAAGTAGCTAATTTTGCCCTATGTTTTGGTACTGTAATTACCTGTCTTGGTTGTGGAAGACTCGGACACCTGATATTTGATAATTAATAGACTTTACCTTTTGGGGGAATATTATGATTGGTCTTGATTTCCCCTTTAGTAAGTTTAACACTTAATTTTTAAAATGCATTAAGAATAATTTGATGACTTTTTTCCTTTGTTCTAGATTGTACAGTCTTTTGCTTGTGATTTTTTCTGTGATCAAAGTAAAATTAAATAATTTATGCAAATATTTTCAACTTAACTTAAGCTACATGGTATTAATAAGCCTTTGTTTTGTTTTTTTCTTCAGACGTATGGTCTGCAGGCTGTGTGCTGGCTGAACTGTTGCTAGGACAACCAATATTTCCAGGGGACAGTGGTGTGGATCAATTGGTGGAAATAATCAAGGTGAGGTTGAATTGGAATTTTGAATTGGATGGAATTTTGCTACTATATTCTAAGAATGCTTCACACACACACACACACACACACACACACACACACACACACCCATGGAAGACTTTAAAAAAATGGAGAAGGTGATTCAAGATCACATAGCAAGTTCTGCTATAGAGGAAGTGTAAGAACACAGCCTTTTGGGCTCTGAGTTATTCTTCTGTTGTATGATCCTGGAAAAGCCATTTTGGATTTGTGATGCAAAGAAGGGATATGTCTGTTAATTAAAGTACTTAAAAACTAGAAGATCACTAAATGTATATAAAGTGAATAAAAACAAGCCATGTCTGTTTTTTCTAACCATATACTCTCTCTTCCTGGTACTTTGCTGAATACATAGGCGATGCTCGTATCTATTCAATATATAAATATTCATAAAGTGGAAGACTGAATATCTACATGTATGAGGACACAGATAAAAACAGAATTGTGATCATAGGTTTACTATAATGTTATTTAGTAGGTCTGTCAACACTTTCATTAACAACACCAGATTCAAAATATTATAACTTGGGAATTATTGTTTATCTTAAGAACAGTAGGGGTGAGATTATAATTGAATTTTTAAATGTAAATTTTAAAAGCTTTTAATATTTGAGCTCTTAAAGAATTTCCCACCCCTCTTTTTAAAAAATCTAAAATGTATGTATTGAGATCACTTGATGGATTCATTCTAAGGTTATGGGTTGGCAAAAGCAGCAACTCCTACTGACTTTATTATTGACTAGAGTCCCTGGTGTACAAATTCGTGTATTATGGGGTCCCTCAGCCTGACCTGTGGGATCAGGCCAAAACTGGCTCTCCACATCCCCTGAGGGGTCCCGGATTGCAAGAGGGAGCAGGCTGGGCCAAGGGACCTCCACCGGTGCACAGTCGGGGCCAGGGAGGGATGCAGGAGGTTGGCCAGACAGGGAGGGGCCACGGGAGGGCTCTAGGGTATGTCTGACCTGTCTTGCTCAGTCCCGATCAGCCAGACCCCAGCAGCAAGCTAACCTGCCTGTCCAAGCTTCTGCTCCCTGGTGGTCAGTGATGTCAGTGACTGGTCGACTTTTTCTGCCCCCTGGTGGTCAGTGCACGTCATAGCAAGCAGTTGAGCGGCCTTAGCATATCATTAGCATATTATGCTTTGATTGGTGGAACGGACAACCGGACTCTTAGCATATTAGGCCTTTATTATATAGGATTTTCTAAATGTTTCTTGGAAGTGAAAAATCTCCTTAGAGGTCATAGTCCAGTCCTCCATCCAACACCAGAAACTTCTTAGTTACATTCCTAACAGATGTTTTTTCAGTATTTTCTTGAATACTTCGAGCTTCTGATGGCTACTTTCTGTGTCTGCACAGCTTGAGTTCAGTTTTATTGTATTGAGCCATAACTCCTTGGTAGCTTTTACCAGTTGTACACAGGATGGTAATTAAATTACAGTGGGGCCTTGACTTACGAGTTTAAGTCGTTCCGTGACAGAGCTCGTAACTCAAATTACTCGTATGTCAAATCAATTTTCACCATTACAATGAATTGAATGCTGGGTTGATGTTGTGGCATTCCGTTCACTGTGACGTTCGCTGCGCCAACTAGCAGTCGGGTATCTGAAGCTGGCTCGTAACCTAAATTTTAGCTCACAACTCAAAGCAAAAAATCGGCCAAGAGACGACTCATTAGTTGGGACACTTGTAAGTCAAGGCCCCACTGTATTTGAAATCCTTGTACTTCATTCTATAAAAACGTTACTTTTGATAAGGTGATTTTGTTAGATATCAGTTTATGCAAGAGTGGTTGAAAAGATCAGTGTGTATTCAAGAATCTTCTTTGCTGTCCATGTAATTTCTTATGGCTTGTACCTGAGACCACTAAGATATTTACACTCGTTATTTGAATAACTACCTCTGACCTTTGTTCAACAGTTGTCCTTCCTTCTGGATTCCCATAATATACTCAAATCTAAATTAAAATATTTTAATCTTTTTGTTTCCTTAAAACCTATGTATTCCCTATTATTCAGATTAATACTGTAATGCAGGCATTGGCAAACTTTTTCTTTAAAGGGCTAGATAAAATATGTCAGGCTTTGTGGGCTAAAATGCAAGTCATAGAGAGCTATGAGAGAACATAAATTTCCACAGATCTTTTTATTGATGAAATTCAAAATATAGTAATAACTAAGTACAATTTTTTTGTAAGACAGTCTGCTATTTAATATAATGGAGTTCTTTTTGTGGACTGTATCATTTAGTTGGGATTAAAGTTAGTGTTCACTATCATCAAATTGATTGCAAATGATTATCCAGAACCCATTAATATTTCTTAAATGTTAGGGTTTTTAAAAAGTCACCACAAATTAAGGAAACAGCCCCTAAATCTTATTGTTGTGAATATACAGGGGATTGACAAAAATAGGTTTATAATTATAATATAAATCTACACTGATAAAAGAAACATGCAAATTGGTGTCACTCTGCTATGCCCACCAGCCAATCAGAATGGCTATGCAAATTAACCCAACAAAGCTGGTGGTTAATTTGCATATGCGGGTCCCGAGCGAAGACTGAAGGCTCTGGCCAGAGTGAAGACTGGAGAAGCCAAGCCTCACTGTGGCTGGATTAAAGGCCTGGGTCCTGGGTACCAGAGGAAAACCGGTGCCAGCAGCCAGGGGAAGGAAGGCCTGTTGCACGAATCTGTTCGTGCAACGGGCCTCTAGTAGATAATAATACAAATAACTATAAACCTACTTTTGCCAGCCCCAGTACAGATCAGTTTGACATATCTTTGTGTTTCATCTAAAATAGTCAAGATTATTATGGTGGATCTTTGCTTTTAAGTACAGCTCAACCTTATTTTTACCATATTTTTTAGCAAACACTTTGAATTATCAGTTATCTCTATATTATGGTTTGTTCAGCACCTGTGTGCCTATACTCTCCTTTTCCAGCTTAACATTTTCACTATCAAATAGTCTCAGAGTGATCAAAGATATTAATTAAATCAGAGTTTAATAAGTATAAAATACTGTTTTCCTAAGTTTTTGATAGATCGGTGACGTTATCTTTGCCAACATGCGTTTGGAGTTTAATTATATGTTACCTGGTGACATTTCTTCTGCTGTCATATTATAGAGCTCTTGTGTTATTAACAGATTGCAAGGACAACATATTAAACTTTTTTCTATTTTTCACTCCCCAGAATGTGTATGTACACACCATTACACTTAGTGGTACTGATTTTTACTTGTAATATATGTCATGTGTAATATATAAACAAAATATTTGATTGCTTAATTCATCCTTATATTATTTAAAATTTTCTGTGTTTATTACTGACTAGAAAAAGCAATTTTTAATAGCTTTTCAATCATGGACCACTTTGAAAATCTATTCATAGCATGGATTCTCCTCCTGAAAAATGATACTTGCCTGAATTTTGCATATGATGTGAGGTGATCCTTGGGCTTTCTAAAGCTCATCCAGGAACCCTAGGTTAAGGGTTAAGTTTTAAAAGCTTCATGCAGCTGAATTGCTGAAGTTTGGCGACCTCTGGTGTTGACCTATTGAAAAACAAGGCTGTGATAGAAATACTTGTATTTATTTCATAGCTTTTGTCAGTTCTTGCCTTTGTTTTCTTTCCTTGAAGACATGAATCATTAATTCCCGATTTGATATTATTTAGTATCTTGATAAATTGTAACTAAATGAATGAAAAAATGTTAAAACAGGTGTGGGTGGGACTGGGTACAAATGAACAAATTAATTTAATTACAAGAGGTGAACAGCACCCCCAAAAGGATGTGTAGGCTGATCTCTGATTGGGTTTTTCAGGACCTCTCCTCCACAATGATTCAGGATACGAACCGAAGAATAGGTGCTTTATTTCTTTTTCTTTTTATTTTTTCAAGAAATAGAAAGGTCTTATTCTATTATGGATGATTGAGAATACATATTCTTCCCAATGGTGTGATGATTTTAACATCTTCCCTTCCCTTTAATTTAATAGTGTGAAATATTATACTTACAGAAAAGTACATAAAACATTTGTGCAGTTTTATTTCCTGTAAGTCATAAAGGAACTCTGTTTTTTAGGAAATCCAGAAATAACTTGTTTTGTTTTAAATCTTTATTCAAGGATATGTTTATTGATTTAATTTTTAGAGAGGGAGGAAGGGGCGGTGAGAGTGAAACAAGACCTTTTGGTGTATGGGATGATGCTCCAGTCAACTCAGCTACAGTTTAAAAGTTTTTAAAAAATGATGTATTCAGAATCTTTGTTCTTTATAATCCTTTTTAGTCTTTAAGTTTGCCATCCATCTATTGATCCAGTCTTTATTCTCTGAATTAACAACTCAGCTGTTACAGTTATCCAAATTATGCTGTTTTCCACTTCATACCATTGTGCAGAATGTGTTTCTAATTCATTTGCTTCCTAGAGTCCTTAAATAAAATCAACTCTTGGCTCTCCTTCCAGAACCCTTCCTGAATCCCTTCCTCACTCCAGTTCAGTGTGGCATTTTCACCTCACTCATAATCTATGCTGATTTTGTTGTATTGGTTTTGGCTGATTGTAGTTGTTTTATGTACAAGTCTTTCTGCCCAAGAGCTCCTTGAAGATCGGAACTCAATAAATGTTTAGACTAAGTGAATGAGTGAAGAGGCTGAAAAAAATGTTTTAAATGTCTCTCAATTATGTCTTACCTTTGCATTCTTACATACTTTTGCACCTTATGTCATATCTTTGCTTTCTCAGACTACATATGTTATATATATATAAAATAAAATAATTCTGATTTTAGGGTTTGATAGACTGATACTTTTAATGGTAGCCTTAAAACAAGAAGGATAAACTTAGGGTTGTATTTAGTGTAAAAAAGGCATCACAAATTACATAATGGTCTATTTTCCTTTGTAAATTAATTTCATAGAGAGGTAAGTTACATGCAATAAAATGGAGCCACTTTAAGTATG